TATAGTGATGATCATGTTTGGTTTTTCATTCAACATGATTTCTGACGAAAATCACATTACTATTACATCAATGGTGTTTCTTCACTCGATTTGGAGTTTCCAAATGTCTTACCTCTTTCTCTAATATGATGATCTGTAGGGAGGTTCTTCCAATAGATTTACAAGAAGGAAAACTGCAAGCTTTTTGCATGCAGGCATTGGGGCAGGTACACTTTATTCATTGGATAGAAGCCCTTGTTATGAATATAAATCCTTTACAATTCATAAGATCATCCTAGAATTAGCTAATCTTTTCCCCCCAAGCTGTTACGAAGATATTATCCTTTACCATTAAAATGAAGTTTTCTTCTTGGTTCCATGATCTAAAACTGTATTAAAAGGATAGGCCTATCTATCTGAAGACGTTAAGGTTCTACAGCATGTCACTTTGTCTTGCTGATATTTATGTTGGCTGGTATTTGGCCATTAAGGTTCCATTGAGCTTATGATTCTTCAGTGTTCTTTTTTTTATTTATCAATACTTCTCTCTTTCAGCTGGGCTGATCTACTGATGAGCAGTATTTTCTTTTTTCAGTGATAAAGTTGGTCACCAATCTGTTAAAAGTTCTATAGCACTGATACTTGTTTCATTCATTAATTTCCGTAGGGCATTGATATTCAACTTGGGATGGCAATTGACAGTCCAAAGGCCACATTAGCAGTGAAAAGAAGATTGGCATGTGAGATGTTTAAGTGCTGGCAACAGGTAGGAGTGATGTCTCCCTTATTTATATTCTTGTGTTTGTGGTATCTATTGAATGTTGAGTGAAATTGTCCTCCTGTCATGCTCATCTTATCGAACTTTTGAAGATGCCATATCTTAATATTGATTATTTGTAATTTTGTTGTTATGCAAACAAATGATCACAGCCCATTTTAACTCTGGCAGGCACAAGATAGCATCACAAGGCTTCCTATCTCCGATGGTTGGGCAGAAAAACATCGGGCTTTTATTAAATGGAAATATGTCGAGGCTAAGGTATGTTAATTTTTTTGTTTAAAACTAGCATGAGCCTTTTTCGTTCATAAAAATATAGTTGTTAATGCTGCTATTATATGTATGTTTGCCGTAAATTCTTACAAGTGATTAATCATTGCTTGAGCATTTCTCACATAAATATGATTGATTGACCAATATTCAGGCATGTGATTGTGGGATTGTGGGGGCTGCTCTTTTATGTATTACTAATTAATGGGCATCTATTGTCAAGAAAAACTTGCTTACATGCTTGTCTACAATGCACGGAGGTGACTGAAAGAAGATGAGGTTGAATAACTAAGATGAAACTTTACATGTGAAAATTTTAAGAATTGTGTGCTGAAACTTTTACCTTCTATTCCTGAGTTTCTAAGTAATGATATCATGTCATCTCAGTTTCCTTCCTCTTTTCACCAGTAACCAATTCTTTTTTCACTGAACGTGTATCTTTCTTTTTTTCGAAAGGCTGCTGCCTATTATTATCATGGCATGATCCTTGATGAGGGGAATACAGAAAGATCCCATGGAATGGCGGTTGCCGCATTGCAAGCAGCAGAGGAGTTTCTTAAAGAAAGCAAAAAATCATGCGAAGCTTTCAACTCCATGCCTCCTACATCGAGGTATGTTTTGGTCTTTTTTACCCTTGATGAATTTATTTTTATCTTTTTTTCTACTTGCCTTCACATTCTAAAGTTTAATGGATAACTTAGGATGCAAAAAATATTGTTCTTAAGTGATCAAATAGATTTGGTCAGTTTTTCAGCACTTGTATGTACAGAGGTCCATTTTTTTGTGATCAGAAAATAGTCTACAACATTATATTGGTTATGATTCATGAAGCACAAATGTTTCTGTTGAAGCTATTTCAGTCTCCATGCTGCTAAAACCAAAGTGCATTTTCTCGGGACTACCATTTTCTTGATTTATTCTCTTAAAGCAAAAACAGGTATTCTTGATAAATCAATGGAGATGCCTTATTGTCAGTTAATGTCTTTATGCATCTTTCTGCTGAAAGTTGCTTACCAACAGTGTTGATTTGCATAATAGCTGCTTGTGATGATCCCAAATGCTTCTTGCAGACTCATAATTGACTATGTTGATGAAGTATTCAGTGCTCCGTGCCTATACTATTAACGGCGCTCCAAGTGAGTAATGATCATTGGAATATAACAATACAGGAAGCTCACTAGATGAATACACTGATCCGATGTTCATTATTCACGTAGTGCACCATTAAAGCTATAGGCAGCAGCCATGGAATACTCTCATGTTGATATCAAACTCTTGTTGGATAATGTGGTTTTGGCATTTTCTTGCTGCATATCAATCCTTCCCTCTTCAACCCGAACTAATGCGGTTTTGGATAATGTGGTTTTGGCATTCACCCCCTCCCAACCCCAAAAAAAACACCTGCTGTAAATCAACCTGCATCATTCATGTTGGTTTGGTGGGGGGCAATCAAATTTATTATTATATTATACTCCGGATTCCCTGTAACTGTGTATCTCTTTGCAGGAATCCACCCCTCTGGGGGTCAATGAAGTATCTTTCTGAGAAAATCCCCAAAGATGCTTCAAGCAAGGTTCACATCAACAAAGACCTGTACAATCATGAACGGTAAAACATTTGACTGTTTAAAGAAACAAATCGATTTTCTAGGAGAAAAATGAAATTCTATAGAGGGCCTTCTATGGAAAATCATACTTGTAGATTAAGAGATGTAAGACATCTGACCTTGCACAAATCTTGATACACACATCACTGTCAGTTATCAATGCAACACTCATAGGCATTCTGAGTGCATCAATAGTTGATATTGATTTGCGTAACAACATATGTGCTAGGCCAGGTGTCTTCATCCGCTATTTCATGTATAATTTTCTACAGAGAATCATTAATGGAATTTCTTTCCTAATGTTCCTCTCTCTCCCTTCTGGAACTTAAAACTAGAGCCTTCTTCCACTCTCTTGTTTACAAACAATTCCATTATTATGATATTATATTTTGATTCCTTTCATTGAAGTACTGTTACTTTATATGAACGTTAGATTAGTGATTTGTGCAGGATCTTAGAGAAAACACCGGCACTGCCTGATTTTGCTGTTGCTCTTAAACCTGATGATTACCAACTTCCAGCATTGGATCCTTCATGGAATGCAGAGGAAAACCAACCGTACAAAGCCCAGAGAATATGATACATTGAAGGATCCAGCATTAGTCTTTACAATGAGTGCAGTAGTTTGATGTGAATTCTATTTATTTTTCTTTACACGTTATTCTCGTCGTATATTCCTTTGGTTGCTGGAGAGTTTTGTTGTGTACAAGATTTTTATGTTGCATGTAAAATTCAATGCTGGAGAGTTTTGTTGTGTACAAGATTTTTATGTTGCATGTAAAATTCAAATTTATATGATTCCCCCGTGCAAACTATGTAGGCAGAAAGTGTTGGAACTTATTACATTTTCAAATATACAAGTTATTATTTCTTTTCAGAGGAAAGAGGCTTCTCTGCATTCTTCGAGCAAGTAGTTATGTATGTGACGCAGTGCCAATTAATTACATTATAATTTGGTGGATTATTTTGACGATATTATAATTTTATTCAATTTAATAATTGTGTTTATTTTGAGTACAAATGTTGTTTTCCTACTGTATTTTGTAGGAGGCACTACTTACGCTGTGTACATGGTAAATTGCACATACACAATGGCGACTAGAAATATCCTGAGCAAATCTGCAGGTTAAGTCACTCAGGATGGCTTTTATAATGGACATGTCAAAGTTGTGATGTATAATGCACAACGGTAAATTGCAAAAACCCTTTTTTCTTAAAACTCCACAATCTTTCTCATATATAAATCTCCTTGCCAAAAAAAAAAAATTCAATACAAACCCCCTTGCGGATGATCATGGATAAAAGTTGTCGGTTTTCTTTAACTAAAGCTTGGCGCTTCAAACGTCCAGACAGAAGATTAGATCTCTTTTGTCCGAAGTCTGTGAAATTTAAAGGACAAACGTCTTTTATATACGTGTACCCAAGTGCAAACATTTGTACAAAAATCTAAAGATCAATCTCTATTACAAAATCAAGTTTAAGCTATATTAGTCACATAGAGGGGCCTTTTGCCTTTTTTAACTTTTGAAAAAACAAGGAATAGATAAATGGGATTTCTTGGAATTACCCTAAGCATTATACGAAGTAGCTACTGATGTTTACATCCAACAACGTAGCCATAATGGTAAAAAAAGACAAAAAAAGTCACCACAACAAGACCAATGCAAAAACATCAAACACTGGACAAAGTAAAGAACTACAAATCTAATGAGGAAAAAAATGTTAAAATGTTCTGCTCTATGGCAACTGCAAGCCCTTCCATAAGGA